CAAGCCTAATAACGAAGCATGTAATTCTGCCACATAGGATCCCGAAACATGCGAGCCTGCCAGTTAGGCTCAGCACTTTCTGAATTAATATATAGGAGGATGAAAGTTAAACCCTGGTCACACATCTTGTACCAATCTAGTGGATATGAATGAATCTCACGTTCTCACTTTAAAAATATGGACTCATTAGAACCAATTCCTATGTGTGTGTGTGTGTGTGTGTGTGTGTGTGTGTGTGTGTGTATATATATATATAATGTGGTTCAAATGAGAACCAAGTCTTAGCGTGAGAACCACTATTTTTAGTTGTACGTAGTGCTATGATTAATTGTGTTTTAGTGCTATTTTTAACATAGATTTATTCTATTAAAAATAGCAACACAATTTATATTAACATTTATGAGAATGATAGCACCATGTGTGGTAAAAATAGTATCATTTACAATCTATTAATATATAAGGAGACAATTATATATACTTGAAATAGCAACTAAAAAATTAGCAAAAAAAAAAAAAACATTTTTTCTTTCTGCCTGAAGTAATTACTATATTGAATAAAATTTTTGGCCAAAATTTAAAAAATCCCGCCTAAATTAATGTAATTAATGTATAAAATTATTTTGGTCGAATATTGCGGCTATTACCTCTATTAGTTGCATTATTTTAATTTGAATTATAATATATTGACAAAAACTTGCATCTATTGCATTTATTAGTTGCATGGTTTAAATTTGTTATATAATATATTGAAAAAAAAATAAAAAAAAAAATATTTAAAATTAAAAATAAAAAATAATTATTCATAATTTCCAGGTCAATATTAACTTGGACTTAAACGAAATAGTCAATTATTTATGGTTAATATAATACTCAACTACTTAATTTTTTTTATTTCAAAATAGCTTATATAGAAATAGATTATTTTAAGAAGTGAAACAATATAAATTTTATTGTTATATTTATTTTTCACATAGGATGTTAAATATATGATGATATTTAAATAAAATAATTATTTTATTTTATCACATTATAGACAAATCAAATTTCTAAATAAAAATTTTGAAATGATACTTATTTTGAAACGAATATAATATGATTATTATCGGTTACGTGCACCATAGTGGTTGTGTACTAATTTTAAATAGACATTTTTATGTAATTTTGTACAATTTAAATTTTATAGAACATTTTCAATAAATTAGAATAAATAATTGTATTACATATTGATTCCATATTTTTAATTCAAGAATATTACTTAATAAGAATTTTTAATTTATAAATACTAGTGAATATTTCTCACACATGCACACGGGACTCATACACCCCTATAAGGAGAACAAGAAATCCATTTTACTTTATTTTAGTTCTTACAGACAATAGCATTTCAAGACACTAACCAACATTAGGCAAGAACCGGAAGAACCCCAAACCGCAGTTTGCACTGCATACGTCTAACTTCAGAAACCAGTAAACAACTAGACATGGCCGAAAATTGTCGATCCATGAGTGAAAACAAATCCTGTCCGTATCGACTCAAATGGCAAATCTTCAAAGCTCAAGAAAGAGCCATAAATATAATAGCTGCACCACAGAAACTTCAATTGCAAAAGTGAGCAAGTATTATTCGTTGTTCGACAGCCACATCCCAAGAATATTCGACAGTTCTCAAACCCACCATAAAAATTCAATGAATAACACCAAAAGGCAAAAAAAACATATAATTACAGGAACCACCAATGTAGAACAAACAATCTTTCACAATTTTGGTCCCCAAAATATCAAACTTTACACCGATTACACGACATGACAAAAAATACGAAAGCAACATATTGTGTGCGTACCTAGCAAACGCAAATAAAAATAACATGAAATCATAAAATTAAGCATCCTCCATCACATCAACTACATTCAAGTGTCACTACAAGAAAAACTGCATTTGGCGACGCTTATTTTTTTGTTTACTGACGCTTATTTTTTTCTGACATCAAATTTAGCAACACAACTCGCCAATAAACGTCATTAATAAGTGTCACCAAATGTAGTTTTTCTTATAGTGTGTCAATAAAAAAAAGGGGGAATTCATTTCAACCATGCAACTCCATAGCAGTACACCAGAGTTTTAACCTTAGCCATGTCATGACCAAATCCTTAACAGCATATAATATAGTAATTATAAACATTGTTTTACTTTTCCAGCTAAACTGCAAAAAGCAAGCATGGAAAATTGGAGATGAAGTCACTTGGCAACAACATTTTCAGGTTGAGTGTCCTGCTGTTGTTGATAGTTTAGAGGCCTCCTAAAGAGCATGATGTGCGGCTCTGGCCGGTGGATCGCATAGTGGACCCACCCACGGCTTTGCTGAACACCAATCCCTCGCCATTCATTCTGCCAATGTTAATTAAATTAGAACAAAGAACTAGAAATTTCAAGAAAAAACACATAAAAATTTTACATAAAAAAAAAAAAGAGTTACAAAAGATTCTTTAAGGGGGAAAATACAACGGTTTGAAAAGGATCATTGAGGATAGTTGCTGAACTCGATTGTTCTAATTAAAAAGAAATATGACAATTCCCCAAACAGATGATTGACGTAAGCTGTATAAAAATCTCCTTACATGACATTTACAATTTTACAAATCCTGAAATTGAACCGAGTTGAAGAATTATATTTAGTAAGTCATTGTTAGAAGCAGTCAGTTCAAATAACCCACAATATTGAGTAAATTTTCACTACCTAAACTTTTTCGTCCTCTTCGAATTGCGTTTTTTATTTTCGTCACGTATGTTTGCGAAAATGTTACAAAAAAGTCCTTTTCGAAACAGAAATGTCCTTTATGTTTTGTAAAAAAATGTTCCACTTGCATCCCTTATGTATGATAAAGACCTTTTTATAACCTTTTCGCAAACATATGAGACGAAAATATAAAACGCAGTTCGAAGAGGACGACAAAGTTAGGATAGTTAAACATAAACTAAAATTATATTTTACTCTATATAATATTCTTTATGAGATCCTCAGATAATCACAAAACTAAACAATGTGGTGGACTTTGACAACATTGCATGGTTGGTATAAGAAATTCTTCACAAAATCACCAAGGATTTAGATATCTGCAATAATAATTCATCCATAGCACATAATTAAGGGAAATGCTACAGTCCCATTACGGAACCATTCCATCGGGTTACAAGTTTGTAACCGTTAGATCAACTATCCCGACGGGTACATAATGATCTAACGGTTACAAATCCCGACAGAATGATTCCGTAACGGGACCCTGTAGAATCTCCCCATAACTATAATTAATTTATGACTTGGAGCAAGCCATTTACAAGATCTATCATTTATGAAATTCACACAAACCAATGAAAACAGTAAAACCCTAATTCTATCATATTAAAAAAAAA